TAAAAAAAAAAAAAAAAGGAAAGAAAAAAAAAAATAAAAAAAAATAGAAGATGAAAGAGAAGAAGAAATTCTATTGTAATTTCCACGATAACAAATAAGATCCATCAATAATATTCGAGAAGTTTGATTTTGTAGAGTGGACAGTGAACGGTAGAATGGGGAAGAAAAAAAAAAAAAAAGAGAGAATACACACGACAGAAAAAAAAAAAGTGTGGGTTTATTAAATCGCGAGGAAAGAGATATACGGTTAGCATATCAAACGTGTATTTTTGATGAGAACGTGTGTGAATGCGGTTTCTTTTTTCTCCGGCGAGAACGAACAGAGGCAAGCATCGTCCAATTTAGTATAATTGATTAGAGGAACGAGAAATCTACTTAACGGTTTTATTATTGGTATAAAAAATGGTTCCGTCGCGTCGTGAGCAAAGGCGACGTGCAAAGGATAATGGTATCGTTGGACACGTGTTGGATACGATTATCGTTGATGATATTCGATGTATCGTGATTGCACGTTCATTGAGAATAATTTTATTTCTTTGTGGTAGAAAAAAAAAAACGTGTACGAGAAACATGTGATGAATATCGTTCTTTGATGAATCAATTGTATCCATATGTATATTCTGAAAGAGATTATTAGATATTTAAAAGTATCTATATATGTATATGATTGTTTGTGTTAATTTATTTACGTATACGGCAACGAGTTATTTTGTTTTATCAAATTCAATATTTTTCACGCGTAGTTGTACCAGATGTGTAAATTGATTCGATGCCGTTTTTAAAAAAGGATTAAAATTTTATCAAGCGTCATTTATGTAAAATACATAGTTTTTTAAGTTATTTAAATTTAAAATAAATAAAGGCATCGAATTAAATTATACAAGGGAATTATGTAACAAGGGAAAATTTTTCATACATTTCATTGTTAATTTATCGTGTATAAATTTTCCAAAAATTCTATATTATTCGTCAAATAATTCTATATTATTAATCAAACGTATTCTAAAGTTACAGATTCTTCCTTTCATTATGCGTAGTTCAAATGAAAGGAAAAAAAAACTTACGATTAAAACTTACTTATAATTTCAATCAAATATGTATATATATATATTTATTTCATCTTTGTTTCATCGATTGTTTTCAATTTTATTGGAATAAATCGGTGAACGAATAAAAATGGACGTGTACTTGCAACGAAAAATGGAATGAACTTTATAGGTATCATTATACGTTGTACGTCGTAAAATGCTATCACTCTAAATATCCAGCTGATATATCCTGGACACACCGAAATAATAAGAAATGCTTCGACTCGATTCACAACGATCGATGTTGTTTGATTAAAAAGAGAGAAGAAGATACTAGGGCTGCGAATATCCGTGCGTGTCGTTTCAGATTTCGTGCAGAATTCTATTTCTCTCTCGTATATGTAGTATATAACGAATCTGTAAAGAAACGTGTATGGATTTTGGTTAATTATAACGCATCTACCGAGGCCGATGATAGGATACGTATAATGGCATGATCGATATTCGTTTACCTTGAAACAACAATCTCCAAGATGAATCTAAGACACCATTACTGAACGTTCAATCGAATAAACGTGTAAAATAATTGTTGATGATGATGAGTGAACATAGAACAAAGAGGGGAAATAAATCAAAGAATTCTTCAATAATAGAAATATTCCATTGGCTGTTTCATAAGATGTACTTGTGGTGTGGTTTCAAGGTATCAACAGACTTGGCTTGTAAAGATTAAGAAACGTTTTCATTATATTTATATTTTATAAGGATACGCGGGTTTCACACATATGCTCTGCAAATTTCTCTATGCATATATTTATTATCGTAGGCGTATATATATTACATACATATATATATATATATTATTTACATAATTAATTACGTGTATCTATTATTATAATAATTGTAATATAATTATTGTAATAGAATTGGGATGAAATAGCCGGATGGAATGCATAAGTATGATGAATCGCGTCAGGATCACCATGCGCGTCGTATCAATAATGAATTATTTACGTATTATCGATACGATGCAGGCAACATTGATTATGTGTATTTGTACCATTTATACGGGTCATTATTATTATTATTATTGCTATTATTATTATTATTATTATTATTGTTATTGTTATTATTATTATTATCATTATTATTATTATTATTTATTATTATTATTATTATTATTATTATTATTACTATTATCATTGCCATTATTTAATGATATACATATTCGCATATACATTTTGAATATTCGAACAGTAATGATACGGTCTGTCTTTAGAAGAACGCGTGAGATTTGTTTGCATTTGGAGCAGGGATATTTTTCACGTGATTCCATTGTAATCGTGCAAACACGATCAAGGAAGAGAGTTGCGGATAAGTTCGACAGCCCTAGAACGATAGAAATCAAAATCAATGGTCTCTCTTGTTTCTACGTGAAAATTTTAATGTTAACGTGTATAAAGCTTGTTTTTTTTTCTCTCTCTCTCGTGTAATTATCCATTATAAAAATGTTATATAACGTTCGATCGATTTTTTTTTAAATTACTTAAGAGGAAACTTCTTTGTTTTTAGATCGCATTGTAAACATTAGAACAAGAGTATATTGCGTTTCTTTATTCAAGATAATTTTTTTTTTTTTTTTAATACGTACGTAAGTGATTCGATAAAAATTCTTCACAGTTTTCTTATCTTACAATTACAAAGTTATCAACTTCGGATAATCATCGCTATGTTTGTGTCACGTTGATAATTTGAAGAAGAAGAAAAAAAACGATTATTTCTTGAATTAATTCTACTCTCGTAATTATCTCAAGTAGACGAATTTTTTTTTTTTTCAATTAAGAATAATTAATTTAATTTTAATACAGTAATGTGTACGAGAGAGATTAAATTACTAGATATCGTGGTTCGACGAATTTTCAATCATATCACATTACATTGCAAAATTTGCATTGCAACCACAAAAGAAGCACTGATCGTGATAAGATGACAAGCTGGATTCTTAAATTGACGAGGAGATGCGTTACCCTTAGCGATGTGTAGATTAAGCTACCTTAATCATTTATTAAAGAGTGGTCTATATAGTTTATCCGTATTCACCGACTATATCCGTAAAAAAAAGAGAAAAAAAAATAAAATGACTACGAGTGTGAAAGGCAGAGAGAGAGAGAGAGAGAGAGAGAGAGAGAGAAAGGGAGGGAGTGAAAGAGAAAGAGAGAAAGAAAATCGTCATCAGCTGATAAAAGAATGAAGAAAAATTATAATGTCGATCGATTTTGTTCTTAATAAAAAAAAAGGAAAGGAGGGGGGAGAGAGAACTTCGAAAACTCGGCCGCTTTTCTTCCTGCGTTTTTTTTCTTCGTAAGAGAAACCAAAAATGGAGGGGAAAAAAAAAAGAAGGATACATTTATCTATGTTAAGTTAACGACTAGATCTTAGAAACGAGAGTTATTTGTTCATAGTCCTATAAATACATATATATATATTATATATATATGAACAATGTTTTATGGATCATTATCATCTGAATAAAAAAAATACGTTAAGTCTTTTAATGGGCTCGATGATTGATTGAATACGATGATTTTTTTGACTCTTTCTGTACTCTGAACTGGAAAAATCAAATAAAATCACACGAGATCATCGAAATAATTTTTTAAGTTGTGCCAATATTTATATATATTAATTTCTTCATGACTAATTAGCAA